GTAAATCCTTGGGGAAACTGGAAATGAAAAAGCTCAGCTGCCAAGCCTCTAGATCCAAGCACAAGTGCACAATGAATACCACCCATCCCAGTGGATGCCAAATTCAAAGCTGCTGGATTTTGTCAGTATTCTGTTGCACAGCTCTTAAGCTTGTAGGCCATTGTAGACTTTAAACAGAGCTTTGAGGGTGAAAAAATTTGGCTCTAGAGCAAAAACTTCAATCTCTGTTTACATCAGGGAAATGACAAGCAGTTACAGTCATACCAAGGGTACTCTGGATTTTTTTGCTTCTCCTCTTAAGTACCATTTTTAAATCAAATCTTTCCTATTTGTAATGTATTAATACTGGAGGGTTTGTTGCAGGTGTTGAGGAAGAGTCTTGAAAGATTGAAAATCTGCCTAAAGATACCGTTAAAATACATTATTCCAAAAGAAAAAGGGTAGATAATAGATAGTATGGTTCCCTGAGTTGATATATTTGGGGAAAAAATTCTCCTGGTAGTGAAAGCCAGTGTTTCTCTGACAGTGCAAAGGAAGCATTTAAAAGGAAACCTAGCTTTCCCTCATGTTGATAAAAACAACATAGTAAATTTTAAGGTAGAAATTAATGTGATTGTCTACAACTAGGTTTTCTGAGACACTAAGGCAGTGCCTGGCTTGTAGAGTGTCACAGAGGGTTCTCTGGCAGCTGCTGGATGCTCAGCAAGGACCAGTATTTCTTCACACTATCTTGAATATTGTGCCGATGCAAACCCTCACTTGGCAAAGTGCTGGAGTAAGTGGCTAAGTGTCAGCTTCAAGCATTTGCTCAAAACCAGGGTTTGCTAAAAATGAGTCTGTTGACTTTTGAGCATTTTTCTGAAAACCTGAACACCAGCACACTGCCCAGAAGCATTTTGCAAGTTCTTCCAGTCCTCTCTGCTGCCTGCTGGTTTCCACCCCCCACCCCCCTGCCCTGTGCCGTTCTCGGGTTAAGGAAGCATGTGTCCATTCATCCCCTGATGCAAACAAATCTCTCCTTGGTAACAGAAGGCACAAAACTCTTCCTGCATCCTTGGTAATGGACAGGTGGCTGCACCTCTCTGCCGTTGTCATTGTGTGTTTTTGCACAACATAGTGACTGCTCCAAGGGCTGCTGTCACCTCCTCCTCTGTCAGCCACCACTGGGCTGGGACAGTCACTGCTGTCTGGGTTCGGGCTGGAAATTTGTCTTTTGAACTGAAAACCAAATCCTTCTAATTGCATGATGAGTTTAGAGGCAGTTTTTATATAGCCTTACAGTCACTCCACTGCACACACAGTATTGCTTGCCTGACCCAAACTTACAGGATTTATTTGCCATAATTTAAGATAACCATTTCCTTGCTGAGGGTAAGAGTCTCTGGGCTCCTGCACAGGAGGTTGAGGCCACTGATATTTGTGCCTGGTGTTTCCTGCACCCAGATGCCTCTGACCTGCACCTTGGATTGTTTTCTGCCTCACTCCAAAGCTATCTTACCTGGACAGCCTTCCTCCCTGCACATAGCCCAGGTCTCTTGGGCAGCTGTCCCACAGCAAAGCAGCCAGGCTTTTCCCCAGGTGACACTGAGCTGTCTAGGGATGGATCCAGCAGCAGTGGTGGGACCTGGTGTTATGGAAATTACACAAGCCAGCCACAAAAACTGGGTTCAATTAGGTTTCTACTGAATCAATAAGCTGAAAGACAGAGTCTGCTGTAAAAATATCTTAAAAGTACTTTTTATTAATAGCATTGCAGCCTGAGTTGGGCATCTATTAAGAAGGTCCTTAAACAAAGAAATCCCTGGATGACCTGCTAAAGCAGTACGTTGAAAAATATCTTTCAAACAATCTTTGTGTGTTTTGATAGCAAGTAACAAATCATTTATGTATTGGACAAGTTTAGACCCTCTCAGGCTTATATTTAATAATATATTTAATATATATTAGTATTATTATATTAATATATCTTTCTGATTTTCTCTCTCACTGTGACATGATCCTTGAAATAGTTGCAGATGTCAGAGGCAGCTGGGTCCACAAATATACTTGCTACTATATTTTGTTATAATAAATAATAAAATATTAAGATTCTGGACAGTCATTCCCCTGTACCTCAACAGCACTCATTACAATCTTTTCTAGTAGTCACTGTCTACATTCCTGTACTTTAGTTTAATTTACTCATCTCTTCACAAGCTCTAATCACACTTCGGGAGTTATCTCTGATTATAACAATCCCAGCCAGGATCAATCTGAGGCCAGGCAGCCCAACTTCACCTTGCCAGTAGATCAATTCCATATGTTTTTTCAATTGTTTTATCTTGCTCTTGTGGATGGAACAGCTCCTTCAGCAACAGGCCAGCATGAGCCCAGGATGGGTCATATCAAGAACAAATAATATAAAATAATGATGCACGTTGACCTGAATCTTCCCTTAACCTAGGAATTTGATTTCCCCACATAACCAAATCCCCAGGGTTCTAAAGGTGATGGAATATGAACACACACATTCAGTGGCCAACACCTCCTTCCTTCTCACAAGCCAGGGCTCCAGCCCTGTACCCTTGCAAGAGACACGGTAGTGGAGGGCTGCTTTCCCCTGGGTAAGACACGCTAATTCTTAAATAATGTTAGTAAACAGCAAAAACATGGTGAGCCTGAAGAATTGCTGCATGAGGAAAGAAAGGGAGTGAGGAACTTGCTTCAAAATGCACAACTGGCAAGGAGAGAGCCCATCAAGGTTCAGTGTCCTTCTGTTTCCTCTAAGTGAGGAGATTTATACTGCACCCCTGGTCATGTATTAGTGTCCTTCAGTGTTTGGGGCATCCAGTGGAAACATTCAGATGTCATAAAATAAATCACACTAATCATTGCATGCATTATGGTAGAGCTGAGTTTTGGGGTTTTTTTTAATTGGTTTTATTCCCTAGAAATTTGGCTGCCAAGGTTTGGGACAGGAACATAATTCTGGTTTGTCAGGAATATAATACACTAACTGATTGAATTTTGCCAGAGGGAGCATGTTCATCCTTGCCTGCATGTTACCAACAAACATTGTCACTGTGTGGGGGTTTATCCCCCAGTGGCTTTGCTATTGAGAACTAGTGAAGTATGGCATACAAACATTTGGATAAAAAAAAAATATACCCTCACCTGAGTGCAGCTGGATGCAGCAGGGTGATACCAGTGAGACACAAATGGGGATGTGAGTTATGTCATCCACAATTTATACAGAGACTAGAATCCTACTTCTGGATGTGTGTAGCTTGTAGATGCTACAGGGCATGCATACAACAGCTGAAGCTTTGAAAGTATTGATTTACATTCCTGGCATTGCTACTGCAATGTGACAGCAGGAATCTGAGACACCCTGTTTAACAATTGACCAGGTATGCCACAGCCCACAATACATATTTATCTGTCACCTCCCAGTGGACATTTACTTTAAAAATAAAGGCATCATAGAATCACAGAATTGTTTGCGTTGAAATGCACCTTAAAGAACATTTAGTCCCAACCTCCCTGCCGTAGGCAGGGACACCTTCCATTAGACCAGATTGCTCAAAGCCCCATCCAGCCTGGCCTTGAACACTTCCAGGGGTGGGGTATCCACAGCTTCTCTGGGCAACTTGTTCCAGTGCCTCACCACCTTCATCCATGTTTTTTTCTAGGGTAGGTTCCTTGTTAAATCTTCTTACTTCAGGCAGATGCCCTTGACCAAAAGTTTCTCACTGTGGTGTTTGTGTTAATTCTGATTTGGTACCTGGTGGGTGGTGGCAGGGGCTGTTTCACCCCCAAGCTGTGTGTCTGTCTGGTGCAGAAGCCCTGGTGGGCAGTAGAGGTGCCTTTGCTATGGTTGTCCTGCAGCTGTGTGCTGTGGTCCAGCTCAAGTGGCTGCCGATGGTTCAGGTGATGTGTTTTACATTTGAGTAATAAAGGTTTTGCTTCCATTTCACTAGCTCATTGGATTTACAAGCTTTATTTCTTAAGTCTCCTGGTCCTTCAGTGGATCAAAACAGCCACAGTCTACTTACCCTTCCATCCAGGCTGTGGCATGAGCATCTACCACCATTACAGCCCAAAGAGAGACTCTACACCATTTAACTCATTATCCAATCAATGGCATTCATGACTTTCTTCTCCCTTGACCATGAAATTATGGCTCTCCAGATGAGGAAAAGAGAGCACAAACAGACTACTGCACCAGAAATATAATTTAAATGACAGATACAATGTCTTCAGGCTTTGGACATATAGAGTTTTGCAATTATTTTTTAGTTTAGGTACCTTAATAAGCAAAGTAATATTTTGGTTCTGAAAAGTAAGGAAGAGAGGAGAAAAATTAGAAAATCAGTTGCTTTACTTATATTTCTCTGTCACTAATTCTCCCTAACTCTGTTATCTATACAAAATTAAAGGAATAGAAAGAATCACTACCTTTTCCCAAGTTTCTTTAGAAAGAAGAAAAACCGCAATCTGCAGAAACTTCAAACTGGGTATATACAAGAGAAAAATACATGGGGTTCTCTACTATTGTTACTTGTACACTTACTCTAATGTTGTCATTTTGTCATTTTGGCATGGGTCCTGAATGGGCTGAGAAAAGGAGAATCAAAGAAGCCCACCTCCTCTCATACATGTTTTTAGAAGCATTCAAGAATTCACCAAAGTCAGTCTTCAGACAGAAGAGGCTGATTGACTAAACTGTCATGTACTATCGTCTTTTGAAAGTGGAAATACTCCGTGTAATCTATTATAGCTTAGCCTAATAAGTACCAAATGGGATATTTTTATATATTATGTATCTTTTACGTGTATTTATATATAATATACATACAAATATGTTTAGATGTGTATGGAGACATATTATCTTAGCATATACATAATATTGTATTTTACATTTTTATATTTTATTAACTTACCTGTATGTATATGTAAACATATATAGTGAAGTACTGTTATTTTGTTGATACAACTAACACTTTTTGTACCTTCTTTAGTAATTGCCACGTGAGTTCTTCAAGGATAATGGACCCTAAGATGAGAGAGGCTGAAGGAGATGGAGAGGACAATTCAGGTATAATTTCACCCTTCCCCAGTGAATGAAAAGGGCTGTGATTTCTTGAGCTTCTATGCCTTAGCTCTATCATAGAGGTAAATTTGCTTGTTTAGAGAATGCATTCTGCTTTTCTCTTCTCCTGTTTCCAAGCATTGTTATGTGTTTCCAGCATTTTCAGAGGCTTGAAATAAAACTTTTATAGCATCTTGTGACCAAGCTAACTTTTTTACCCAACAAAATCCAAGAGTGAGTGAAATGCTGACAGGGATGCCTCACAGTGCTGTCGTGCCAACTTAAACAGGCCAGGCACAAGTTGTTGGAATTCTTGTGCAAAACACTAATTTAATTTGAAATAGTTTCCTTCACTGAGCTGCAACTGATCCTAATTTAGGTCTTTCCTCACTGAGCAGACTAGACTTGCTTTTCAAAGTTATTGCTTGATTCCTAGATGAATACTTTGTGATCCATTGAATCTTTTAATTAGCATTCAGAATATTCTTGATGTATTATAAAGCCAAAATTTTAAAATGCTATTTTAAAAGCATTAGCCTCCTGACACTGTGCATTCACCTATGTATACCTTTTCTACATTTAAATTGATTTTTTGTAGCATTGCTCTTATCATCAGTATTTAGCTTGCTGAACAAAGGCAGTGGGTTTCCAAGTAATAATTTCTTTTTCATATCCCAGGCAGTTAAGGCCAAATTTTTCCTTCACAGTTTAATTACCTCAAGAGGCAAGTAGAAACTCTATTAGGAATGATTCTACACCACTGGTTATTTCTTATGTCTCATAAACATTGCAATCCATTCTCCAAGATAACAGTAATTTTATACTTTCAGTACATTCTTGAAAGACATTAATACAACCGTGGACTCTGTAGCATTTTCCAGGAAAAAGTCCATTTATGCAAAAAATTATAAAGAAATGTTATTGTTCAAAAATTTATGCATGCTGCTGGTTGCATCTTCTTTATGTTTCTTCACTTAGGAAAGAAAAAATCAAAGTTCAAATCTTTCAAAAAGTTTTTTGGTAAAAAGAAAAGGAAGGAGATGTCATCTTCTGTGAGCAGCAGCCTGAAGTTGTGCCAGTCAACAAGCGATGTCGCAGCCTCTCATGACATGCGCATTAGTTATGATTCTGAAGATGAACTTGAGTAAGTCTTTGGACTCTGTCTGGTAAACAAATAAAAAATTGCTACAATGTTTGTAGATTAAAGACACTCCAAAATTACCTCCTCCCCTTGTTCATAATGCTGTATTTTCAAATAGTTGCTTTTCCCAGGAAAGTACAAATTAAAATGGTTGATGCAAGGCAAATCAGAAGGGAATTAGATGGGATGTAGCAAGAAATATTAATGAAAAAACTTTCACTTAATCATGAATAAGCCTTGGGTTTTAATTTCAAAATAATGTAATTCCTACCTTCAAAAATGAATTAGATAGCCAGTTTATATCCTACCAGGACTGTCTCATTCCCCTAAAATGTAGCTACTAAGGATTGTTAGAGAAATGTAGATGACTAACCATTTGTGCCAGAGTTTGAAACAAGGAAGGAGTAATGAGATGACTGCAACTGAAATCAGCAGGATCGAGAGGCTCTGAAGACTTTTTTTTTTTCCTCTGTATACATGGGATTAATCTGACCAAAGGAAAAACGTCTCCATTTGGGTTATGGAACCACAGATTCATAGAATGGTTTGAGTTGGAAGGGTCTTTAGACATCATCCAGTTCCAGCTTCTCTGCCATGGACAGGGATAGTTAGTTACCAGCTGCCTTTTATAATCAGAGAGAAGTCAGCATAACTAATAAAGATTGTATCTTCCTTATGCATGAAATAGACTCTGGAAGTGCCTATATCTCCTCACTGAATGTAAACAGGAGCCTGGGATAACCACCTCCAATGTAAATAGCTGCAATTTGGTATCTGAAGTTAGATCAGATGAGTCCCATCCTGTGTACCTCATTGCCTCTGAAAACCCTGTCTTCATTGAGACACTGCGAAAGAGTTACCCACTATGAAAAGTAACCATGAGAAACCCGGTCCAAACATTCAGATATGTCTCTGGATAGAGAGGTGGGCTGAAGAGCCTCTTGAATAACTAAGAAGCAAGTCTTTGCATTGATGGATGCTGTGCCTCTCAGAACAAACCTCCTGGTCCTGAAGAAAGGGGTGCTGTTGTACCCAGGAATGGGAAAGGAAACCATCCCGGCCATTTAAAATTACATTACTCGATGTGGCCACCAGGCAGCGCCAAACAACCAAAAGAAATTATTAACTTTTTTTTTTTTTTCTTTGATGGTTTGGTTTTGTTTATGGGGTTTTTTTTTTTGTTTTTTTTGTTGTTGTTGTTTGGTTTGGTTTTTTTGGGGGTTTTTTGCGTTTTGCTTTCATGGTATTGGCAATAGTAATGTTAGTTAGTTCAGCTTGAAGCCCTCGGAGTCCTGGGCTGGCAGTATCAGGTGGTGTGTAGTGGTGTTTGACAGCTTATTTACAAGACGTGGATGGTGAGCTTTTCTTTCCCCCATGTATGGCTTAACAAGGTTATATCTGAGTGGGTGCCATCTCTGGCTGTTTTGGCCATATTCCTGTGCTGTAACAGAAAGATTGTTACATTATTGTTTCTTAGTATTTATTTAGACAGACAAAACCCAGGAAATTATTTGAAAGGAAGGAAAATTAATTTGAACCCTCTTAATCTGAGGAGACATGTAGGGTGCCTCCATTATGTGTCTGGGAGGGATGTATCTGCTAGAAAGAGGAATTGAGGATGGAATGCTGGGATAAATATGCCCATGCAAGGACACTGCCTGTGTGGCTGCTGCCCTTGTTGAATGTTGGTGCGTGGGGCACCACTGCAGCCCTGAGTGGCACCTATTCTGCAAATTGCTGTAGATCTGTCTGACCTTGGATGCGTTGCAGAGGTCACATTTGGACTTAGATAATTTGTTCTTCTAATGTGTCTAATGCATTAAGCAGAAGTAGCAGGCTTTCCTTCCTTCTGCAGCAAGAACGTAGATCAACTCTTTCCTGCTATTGTTTTATTAAACATATTTACAGCAGCCACTATGAGGAAAATGTTACTGTCTGCCATGATTGTTTATGTTTGTCTTCAGTGTCCCTATGACAGTATCTAGGATCCAGAAATACAGTTCTTTTTTCCTTTCTGCTCAATTAACTTGATAGTTACATAAACCCAAACAATTCTCTATTCTGTACTCATTTACCATTTCATAGCTGCCTGATTTTAAAAATTTGAAAAAGGTACTCTTATAAAAAATGCTATGTGCACACATTCCTTGTCCCTGCTCAGTCAGGGTATGAGCTAAGCTGAGGAAAATGAGCACAAAAAACCTCCTAGCAGCTAGCTCTCTGTCTATGGGCCTCCTCTACCACTCCCATAAGGAAGCAAGGTGCTCATTTTCTGTATGCACCATTTACAAAAGAAGTTACGTAATGCATGCATCAGAAGAAACAGAATATGAGAGAAACTGCCCACAAAGTATCTCCCACTTCCTATAACTATTCCTCAAAGATTGTCTATGAAAAAATGTGTCTCACAGGCTCATAAGAGAAAATCCAAGGGATTTTGATATAGAGCACAGCACCTTTTAAGGATTTATGGAAAGGATTCCATGTGAGGACTACGTTGCCTGAGATGTTTTTGCTAATGATCTGTATGGCAGAGATATATTAAATGCTGTACCACATACAGATAGTAAAAGGTATTATTCTTCCTATGGTAATGGTCACTCATTTGCAAGACATAGTCTTACATTAGCAAGGAGTCTCAGTACAGACTCAATTTATGTGAACTCCATTTTTCACCTGGGCTTGCCTGTGGGCCTATGACACCACCCAGCTGCTGGCTTTCACCCAAGGGGCAGTAGCTTTTTCCATAAGACACAACTCATCTTCTGGGGTTAAACTGTCTTTAACCTTGATTCAGTTTGTTAACATGGCAGATAACATTTAAATTTTTTTGTTTGTTTGTTTGTTTTTGCTTTTAAAGGTGTTCCTTAGATTACCCTGAATGGCTGTATTCATGGAGAAGTCTGGAATCTTGTTTGTGGTGTATGTTGTGCATCTGTGTCTCCTATTCCATATTCAATAACTTGAGTTAAAAGAAATGGCAAAAAACTTTGCATGTTTTCACTCATTTTTTATATTATTCTAGGACACATAAAGGCATTATGGGAAGCAGAGCTTTGTCACATGATAGCATTTTCATCCTTGAGTCTGGACAAGAGCCTGCAAGGCCAGTAAGAGTGTTTTCTCAAGAAAACATTTCTGATCGGATTAGAGCTTTACAGGTAATTTACACAACTTAATTTTTCTTTTCAAATGCAAGAGGTGGAATGTCTTTCCAGGCTTCAGGTTTTCTTAGACAGCATTTGTGGTTGAACATTTGATGAGTAAGTAATATCTGTCTGCAGTTTACATCAAATGTTGCATTTGTTAATTAGACAGCAGTATCCTGTCTTGGTTCTACATAAATGATAGCTGAAAAATGGGTAGTTTATTTGGCTCCTTAAGAGAATGTGTAGAGTCAGATGTCCTGTGCCCTGGATCATTTAGTTGTGAGAAGATAAAATAATGGTAACTCGTTGATCTCAGCTAAAAAAGTGTCCTGGGGAGACCTCCATCACTATTATAAGCTAATGTATTTTATGCCATGCTGAAGATGAAGCTCCAGCCTACCATGAAACTGGGACCTCCGCCTCCATTTGGACTTCATGCAAAGCGAACAGAGGATGCTGGGACCAGTTCTGAAGATGATGGATTGCCCAGGAGCCCTCCAGAAATGTCTTTGTTCCACGAAAGCCTAAGCTCAGGCGTAAGAACAAGAGTGAGTAGTTCCAGTGTTGACAAAAATGAATGTTTAATGACTTGTTTTACCTATATGTGGATGGCAGAATAAAGTATTTGGTTTTACATATCCCTATTTTACCTCTGAGCGATTCAGAAGTACCTTACTCAAATTGGGAAAACACTCTGTCTCTCTGTAAACAGCTACTTAGAATCTGTGCTCCTGTTAAAACAGAAATATCACACCAGAAAATGCAGAACTAGGAAGAAGAGTATGTGATTGTGTGCATGCATGGGAATGCTGTGTTTTCTATAGAGACTAAAAGGAGCTCCCAGGCATTAAGAAAAAATAAGGCTGAAAAATCTGTATTCCCCTTTGAGTGTGTTGATAAGAGAACACTCTAATGTTCTTCTAGGTTTTTCACTGGAAAAAGAAACATAAAATAATCTGATTTTTTTAAAATTATAGTTTTGTTAGACATTATTTCATTCTTTATCTGCATGTCTTACACTTCATGTTTGCAGTGTCCTTGCTAATCCTTAAGACTATAGAGAAAAACAACTTACATTGTCAGTACCCTTGTGCACTTTGTGTAGATGGTTTCTGTGATTATATCCACCTTGTTTGTCATCTTTTACTGAATCTCTTCCTCATTCCATCCCACAGTTCTCTGACTCTCACAAGCACCTTAGCTCTATGAGTTTAGCTGGAACAGGCAGTGAAGAAGAAGAACAGGTAACTTCTGCCAAATGTATTAAGGGAGAAGTAATTACCCATAGTAGTTTTAAAAAGAAATATAAAAAATATTATTTTGTTGCCTGTCTGATGTAAAAAACAACTTTGTATGCATGTAATTGCCTGCATTTTAATGTCTGTCTGTCTAACATAAAAAACTATGATTATTTATCAACATAATTCTGATGCACCGTAATCTCCCATTGATAATAATTAATGCCTCTAGGAAAGCTCATATCCTTTAGCTAACTTTATAGACATGATTTAATCTCCAAGCACAACCAACCAGATTTAGACACTGAAGCAGTGTCTGTTTTTTCAAAGATGGGAAATTGCAGTAAAGGCTGCTTGAGGTACATGCATAGGGTAAGGGAGAAAGCTTATTGAAGAGATGGGAACAAGCAGATCCTCTGAAATCTGCCCAGACCCTGCTTTAAGTAAGAAGTTACCTCACACTGACACAGAAAGTGTTTGCCTGATGATAGTGGCTGACATTGCTGCTTAGGAGTCTGAGTTCAGCCTGCAGTCGGATTCTGGCTGTGAATTTTGCTGAAGTGATGTTTTTCAGAGCTCAAGTATAGGCACATGGATGGCTTTCTTCAATCAGCAGCCAGCCGTTCTGGCTGATTAAAGGGCTGTTTTGAAAAGCTCTGAAGAGTCCCTTTTAGCTGTCCACAGCTGGAGTCATGGTGGAAACAACACAAGGGGTAGAGGGAAGAACATTTTCTAGGAAGAAGAGGAGGGGTGGAGGGAAATTGCAGAAATGAAATAGAGAAACTAGTCCTGAGCTGACCATTTCTTGGTAATTATGCAAAATGTATTTCAGGACCAGCTGCATTAGGCCTCAGCAAAGATTTCTGGCCTTACTTCTTAGTTTCCACATGAAGCTGTTTGAAAAAACTGCTTATATGCAGTGCAATATTAATATCTTTAAAATAAAACCAACAGAACTCATGAAGGAAGAATTTCTTGGAAGCTATTATGGGCTCACTGTAATTGTGCCCAGTCCAGATGCATGTTTGCTAAAAGAGGATTTATGTCTCCCTGTTGTTCCATTACTTTCTGACTCACTTGCTGACTCCCGAGTCGTGGCGCTGACTACACAGTTGCTTAGCTTTTTCCACATGCCCTATCATTTAGCTCAGAGTTTCTTCATCCCATGCCAGTGTGAGAGTGCAGCCAGAATGCATCTCCATCTGAAGGCTTTCCTCTGAACCACAGGGTCTACTACCTGGCATTTTGGAGAAATTAGCCCTGCTTCTAGAAGTGAGAGGAGACCAGTTCACAGGGCTGAGGAATTTTGCATAACCCAGTCCAGAGGTTTTGGGCAGCAGGGATATCTTGTTGTGTCTTGACAGCTTTTCTGGGTTAAAGAAAGGAATCACAACTTTCCTGTCTGGGCCTTGGGGATGGGGTTTCCTCCTGGCCCCACACCACCACCCAGCTGAAGGATGACTGAGCCATGAGATTTGGAGAAAGGGGTCTGCCAGCTCTTTCCCTCTCCGGTAGGCTTTGTCAAAGCGGTGGAACACTGGTGGAACAAACAACTTCGGCAGCTGGCTCAGAGCTGGCATTCACTAAGGCTACTGAAACTTAAGTAAGAAACCAGATTTTGGATTTTCCAGTGTAATGGCCCACCCTGAGCACTGCCAAGGAGAAGACATTCAAAGTTCTCTAAGAAAAGCAGGAGCCAGAAAAAAGGCAGGCAAATAATGACGTGCTTTGAAAGACAACATGTGCTGTGTCTTTATCATGGAACTGAAATGTCAATGCATTCACTGTTAGGTACTAATGTATAATGGAGGCACCTATCATTTCTTGTACATTAGTCATGTTTGACTACTAGACTGCAGATATTGTAGGGTTAAAATTAATGAGAGCATCCATTATTCAGCATGTCTGAGCTATCTTCTTTTTCTTAAGTAGAAAGTATGGTTAGAAGGTGTGGATCCAGCCTCTTCTAAAATCAATGGGAGTTTTCCCCTGGCCATTGAGAAAGCTGTAGAAAGCTTTCACTACACTACAGAGTATCTTTGGGCTGCAGTGCATATTGCAGAATTCTACTTGCAGAAAATGCTGATGCTTTTCCCCTCCCAAAATAAAATGAACATGCCCTGCCCTTCTCCTGTCCAACCTCCTTAGTAAAATACCATGTCCAGGAAAAAAAGAAAGAAGAAGAAGAAAGAAGAATGCCCACAGAAGAAAGCATGACAAAGGAGGAAATCTCCTCCAAAGAAATGAACCAGAATTTCAAGCTTACAAAGGGAGTGTTGTCATGAGCTGTCGGAGGTCACGTTAATGCTGTGACAGATAGTTTGGAAATACCATTTTGCTTATTTGCAAAACTGAATCTGAAAGAAAAGAGAAACCCTTTATAGAGCATTTTAAAATAAATTTTCCAGTGTTCTTTTTGTATCATCCCTGGATCTAGAGCACTTTTTTGTGAAGCTCACAGGCAAGCTGAATTCCAGCTTTGTGCAAGTATGACACCCCTTCCAACATTAAGGAGCTGTTTCTGGTTATTGGCCGCTAGTAGGAATTATCCATCACTTCCTTCCCCAGACTAGTCTACTAATGAAACTTTACATTTCCAGTAAATGCAGATATAAATACATGATGTAAAAGTATGAGCTGAAGTGTCAATGCCACTAATTCTTAATTCTTTTGTCTTTGGGAGGGTACTGTAGAATTGGAAGGGACTTGTTGACATATAGGAAACTAAAGATGCTCAGCACTTTAATAACTAAAATAACTGGGTAGGAGGCTAGACAAAGATGCTGGAGGACACACCCAGAAAAGAAAATGGCCCTTTAGGTTCTGTAACTGAGTACTCTTCATAAATCTGTCTTATGAAACATTCTGGCCATGTACTTGTGTGCTTTAGATCTTCCAGTTACATGGGATTTGCTTCTTCCCGCTGGACAGTGTATCACAGTACTCAAGCAGCTAAAAATGCAGAATTGCTAACACCAGTACATTACATGCAACATTAGGAAATGCAACATATTTTAAAGAAATGTCAAAGAAGAAAAAGAGGAAAAATTAAAATGGTAATAAATATGTCTACTTATTTGTAGAACTGTTATTTTTGTATCTTTGTT